CGTGTTTCAGATTTTTATCTCGTTACGACGCAATTAGATTTGTGTAGCACCTTATAATACGTTAGATTCTAATGTATTAAAACGCGTTTGAGTTTTCTACTTCAATGTTATGTGTGAGAAATTAATGTGTTATAATAGCTTGAATATTTTATCTAATTATAACGCCATAAATTTGGGAAAATCGTTTATAGCTTTATAACTCATTACACAATATGTATCGTGTTGTAACGAGTTAATATCTAATAGATTACAATGTATTATTCTTTTCTACCTCTTTGCACTGAGATAAGGAAATGAAACTCGGTGTAACACGATAGATATTAATGCGTTACAACGAGTTAGACAATATCCAAAGCGCAAACACATGGTTTTCTCGCAAAGAACACATTTTCAGGAAATTCGGAGACTGTCAATCGATTCCTCTCGTAAAGTTGGTCCGGGAAAAGTTATTTCAACTGTATCAGATATGTACGTTACTGTCTTGAGACTTAGGACATAAACTCCCACAGCACACTTATTATCACTGTCACCTATAGCGTTACAGGATCTGAACAGTTAATTTACTGTAATGCCATTAATTATTAACGTTATAATGTGTTAGATATTACAGCAGTATAATACATTAACGTGTAACGAGTTGCAACGCGTTATAATGCGATAGGAATTTAGTAACGCCTTGTAGCTATTAAGACGTTAGTCGAACTTACAGCGTTGAAACATCATAAAGTATGAGAAAGTCGTTGATAAAAATGCTGCATAACACTATAACTTCAATTTTTGGGCGCTTAACGCGTTACGCCAACGCATTAAAGACATGTTTTTTAATTTATCGCGTTATATAACACAACAGAAAAGCTAACACATTACAAGGCATTATGATATGCCTAACGCATTATAATGCAATAAATAGGAAAGAAAGATCCTGTGACCGATACAATACCCGGCTCATCTAGTAAGACATTATGATTAATAAAATCGATACGAATTTGAAACATCATGCAATTAAGTGTACGATTCATCTAGCTGTTTAAAAGAAAGAATGGCTAGATACAAAAAGAGATGCCCTGAGTTTTCAATCGAGATGAAAAGAATTTCAAAAACAGTTCGTGTACAGATTCGAACTCTCTACCTAGAGATCAGTAGTCTTCTACATATACCATTGCTATATATACACGAGCTTACACAATTACTTATACAGTTTTCGTTCTCTTTCTTGTTATTCATATAAATAGCTTTCAAAATTAAAATTGACTAATTAACAATAATGAGCGGTTCTGACCATGATGAAAGCATTTCTTAGCCTTGATTTTCGAACATGACATATTGGAAATTTAATTTCCTACAACACTTTTGCTGGAGTCAGGTTTCTAGAAGCCGGTCTTTAGGCTGCACAACGTCTTGTTGTGTCTTTCATTCTGAAGATCGCTTTGTACAAAGCTGAGCCTGGCAAATGAAATTGAGGAAATGAAATATGCTATACTCCGATTTCCAAATTCAAGTTGAGAAACACTTCGTTTGCAGCGAAAAATTGATAATTAATTTAGAAATGTGGCTTTTCACTGTGAAAGAGATGTTCTAAATCTTAAACCTTTGAGCATCAAATGCAGCAAATTTAATTTTCTCCACTTTATCTGCTAGGCTCAGCTTTGTACAACTCGATCTTCACGGCGCAAAGCGATAACTACTACTTCTTACCATTTACAACTGGGCGATTTCTTACTAGTTGTATCTAGTTGGAAATGGGAAATCGGAATCTGAGCGCATTAGGCAGGAATAAACACTTAATCAACTACTCTAAATTACATTTTCTGCTGTAAAACGTGTGGGGGAGTCTCAGAAGCTCTCCCGGTCAGCCCTAAGCTTGGTGATACCCTAGATCCCACACATAACGCCTCACCTATTAAAGTAACCTACCAAACTTTTTTCTGGGTAAATCAGAAATAGTATTTTGTTACTCACTCTCATGCTCCTCGAACCGGCACAAACTGTAAATATCTAACCAGGCTATAAAAACTGACCTGAAAAGGTAAATATTTCAGTGTCAAATACTAAGGTTTTCCATTTCGCATTTTAAAAGCCGAAAAAATGCAGCTTTTATTTTCAAAAAGCGAAATAGGACTTTAAGCGATGCAAATTCTTCTCTCGTTGGATCCTGGAATGAAAATGACAAAAAAAAACGAAATTTCAGGTTGCGTTTCACATGTGCATCTTAATCATTATGTGCAGCAAGTTTAATTTTCTCCATTTTTTTTGCTAAGCTCAGCTTTCTACAACGCGATCTTCACGGCGCAAAGCGATAACTACCACTCCTTACCTTACAGTTAAGAGAATGCCCACAAGAGGTCGTACTTTTACATTTCATTTTTTCTTCTTTTCTTTAACGTGCGGATATACGTTCAATTGATGGACAAAAATCGAAAACTGTTTGTCTGAAGAGAGCGGAGAAAATTCTCTTTTTCTGAGAAGTCAGTAAAGCATCACAATGTGATGCTTCATCATAACGCACTGCGTTATGATAAAAGTTCGGGAATTTGTGTTTCTTGTCCTTTTTACCGTTAAAATCCATGAAAGAAAGCTGGAGATGAACGAAATAAACTCTAGTTTAAGCATCAATAGTATTGTAGTAGAAGAGCCTTGAAAATTTTTTGGGCTGTTAGGCCAGGTATAAACTGAGCGGATCTTAATGGAAGTACTCTCTAGGAATTCTTACCCATTTAGAAAGAGTCTCAGAAATGATTATTTCTTGTTAGAGGAATAAAGGAAAATGACAGACCCTTGTTACGAAAGACATTTGTTTACTACTATTTGGGATATTTTACCATATAAAAAAATGTTCAGTCTCTAGTCCAAGGGAGTAGTCGTCCTACATAATTATATCAAAGAAATCAATCTTAAAGCACGCTTACCTGATGTAATTGTGGAAAAGGCTAACTAACCTGATGATTTTGCAGTTGTAATACTCTGATCGTTGATTGTTGGTGGGTCTAGTGCTTAAACAAAAGAGATACTCACTTTTCTCTGAAAGCTCAATAAATCTTCACTTACAAACAGTTACTAGCTGTGCTCTAAAAGTAAATAAATGTCCATTATCATCAGTGAACGTGAATAAAATTTGACTGCCTATTCCTGAACGGAATCGTTGTACAGTCCTATCTTGCAGCTGCTTTTGACATGCTTGCGTTCTACACAGTGGCGTATAGGCCAGTTGGAATGGGATGACAAATGATGATAAAAATATCATATTACCAACAACAATTTTTGCTTGATTTGACTCATAATTGTATGCATAAGAAATCTAAAGAGACAAATCAAGTGGCGTTGTGTGAGAACGTGAAGAAAAGCCAAAACATGAAAAAGTTTAACATCTCCTTTTTATGTTTTCACTTAATTCTCCATTCAATTCGAGGGATACAAAAAAGTCTTTAAAAGGTCATTTTAACAATTCGGTCAGTTTTGGGTGTTTTGCGAAAGTCGGAGATAAATCAACTTTTTCGTATTTCGAGATTTTTTCTTTTTTATTTTTCACTCTAAGATTTTGGAATGGATGAGTAGACAGAGCAAAAACAACTCTTCAAAATAAATTCATTTTGAGTTCTCTCAACCGTACTTTGCTGTAGGATAGAACTTTTGAATTTTGAGTCTTTTAGATCGTCGGAAAAAGCTGAAATTTCGGTTAAATCTTTTCTGTTTAATCAACATTAGAACGGGCAAAATACTTCGCTATCTCAGAAAGTTGAACAGAACAGAACAGAACAGAACAGAACAGAACAGAGCAAAATCATCTTATTTTAGGTGAGTATTTTGAATTTTCTTCCTTCACACTTATTTTGAACAAAAACAGTTCTTAGAAACTTATAAAACACATTTTCTGATCCAACCTTTTATCCTAATTCCAAATGTGCAGTTTGTTCTTGTTCAAAATAAGTGTGAAAGAAGAAAATTTCTAACTCGAAAAACGTTTATAACTCGGCCAGTTTTGGGTATGACCTTTTAAAAAGTTTTTCGTATCCATAAAATTGAATGGAGAATCGAATGAAAACATAAAAAAAAGAGATTTGTCTCCTGTAGCAAGCTCCTCGATGAACTCGTGCAACGTCTCTTAACTCAACTACTTTAACAATCTCTACTACAGTAACTCACCTGATTGGCTGTGTTCTGTTTTTCTTCTTCTGTAGAACTAGTTTTTGAATCATCAGAATAATCACGTTTTTCACGTATTTCTCGTTTTCTTTCACCATTAATTATCGTATATTCCAGATAAATTGTCGCTGATGCTAAAGAAAGTTTAAAAAATTACGATGAAAAGCTCTTACTGATATCTGTGTGTCAGTTTGTGGGTGATTTTATTACTGTCAGTGAGCGCTTCTTATAGACTACGTCCTCTACTTTTTCACTTTTACAAGTTTAACTGATCCACTCCTTTGTTTTTAAAACTCCAATATCACGTGCTTTTCTCCTGTTGACGCAGCTTCCTTCATCTATTTTCACTGCTCTTACTTTATTTTCTCTTCTTCTTTCTATAAGTCCAATGTTTTTCTTCTCTTTTCGTTCGTTTTTATTTTACGATGACGTTCTTTTTTGTTCTATTAAAAGATTCCACTCAGGAGATACAATGTAGTCCTTAGGACAACGATTTCACTTGTATGGTCTCCTTTTCTTGTTTCTTTTCATCTCTTTAACCCTTTAAGACCCGACCTTTTCTACTGAGCCGAATTTGCTGAAATTTTCGGGATATGTTGGGGCTGTGGTGGTCAGACTAGATCAAATTTTCAGCCCCATGCCATGATGTTTGAGCGAGATATTCACCAAACAAGGATCAAAAATAGCTCACTTTGCGTTCAATATCTCTCGGTCCAGGCTCGTGCTATAGGTTTTATTTATTTTTGTTAGAAAGAGCATGTCAGGATGCAGAGCACCACACAGCCCTTTTTTTGAATTCTTACTTTTTTAGCGGAGAAAGAGGATCACAAGTTCAATGACTCAAAAACCATGCCAAAAATGGGTGTCTAGTTACATAAGTGTCTGTGTACATAATGACAATAAAGCTCAATTTAAAAAAGGGACTCTGTAGTGCCCTGCATCATGACATGCTCTTTTCAACAAAAAAACTTAAATATATTGAATGAGTTTCAACAGAGAATTCTTGGTCGCAAGATTAAAAAATCATAAATAGAGAAAAAACGAAAAAGATTTTTCGGTTTTTGAGAAAAAGCCTATTTTTCAAGCAGCTGATTACAGAAATCATCAAAATTTTTAGCCAAAAAGGAGATTTTGGATAAAAAACCATATCATTTCTGAAAGATCCGAAAACGGGCTATCTTCCAACGTATTTATCTCCATTTTGAAAATTCTGACGAAAATTGACTTTTTTTTAAGGGGGGCGGCGCTAAAAAACATGGCACGGTGTACTTTTTAATGTTTTCCAGACACTCTATCATCAGTATAGTTTTGTACGGATTTCTACTGCCTTTCAACATTTATTGAAAATATTTTTCCAAGATTCTCAAAAACTGCAAGATTTGAAAATTCTCGAGGTGGGAAATATATATCCCACTGGGCCTCAAAGGGTTAAATAAAAAGCTTAAACTATGAAAAGTATATCTTCATCTCCAGAATAGGAGAGAAAATTCGCATTTCCATCCTTTTTCATTTAAAAGATGAATAGTGTACAAATTTATACATAACTTTCAGTCGTTTCTCAAAGCAAAATTCAGCAGCTTTCCTAATCATTTTTTTCATCATATAGCACGAACAGATGCAACAAGGTTCTGTTTTTCCATGGGTTCTTCAGTATCAGCTGGTGCGATAAATGGTCCTAGGAGAAGAGTAAAAAACCTTTCGGGGATGATTACAATCCATCACAAGAAATTCGTAGTCTCTGACTTACTTTGATTAGCTAGAACTACATGGCCACGTTTTGGTAGATACACCGGTATCAAGGCTAAAACAACAGTTGCTAATAATAGCAAACCGAATATCCCGACACAGCATAAAGCAATTAATGGAACTGCGAAAAACCATCTGTTATTTTTCCTAGAAGAAATTACAATATTAATTACTTAATCCCTACTGGTGCTAACGAGTTACATACATTGCAGTTAATGATTGCAGCGAAGCAGGGACTGCCTCAACTGATGGATTCTGATGATACATTGCTTCAGTCGTATGTTTAAATTTATATTCTTTTCCTGAAAGTTGATTATATATCGCCCATAAGTAATTACTACTAAAAGAGTTGACAGGCTTTTGCTTTCTGCGTGAATAATACTTTTCTACACTAATTCTGCTGAAATCGGATGTACTCGTAACTTCTATTAGGCAATCGGAGGGAGTGAATTATACATAGCCTATCATCCGTATTATTGTATTTTTGTCGACTTTGAGAGATGAATATTGCTGCGTCATACTAGGAATGCCGTTAAAATGGTTACCGCTTTAAGGGCTTTCTACATTTCGATACATTTATTCACAGAACGGAAAAAAGAAAAGTGAGAAACGATAGAAAGTGAACAAGAGATTCTTTTCTACATAAAACAAGAGAACGCAAAAGAATGATACGATCTTGATATATGACGTATGGAGTCTCATGTCCTAATTTCAGCACTAGGGATGTTACAAATAGGGTGAGTAAATAAATGATCACTTTATCACTGTTACCGCACTTGAATATGATACCGTGCTTTTTCACTCAAATAAGAGAGAAAACAAAAATCTACATAAATATGATTATTCTTCACTAACTTTAACCGATGAGGACACATTGTGTAATCTATCTGAGAAACCTTTCACCCACATTTATCGCACTCGTAGGTTTATATGACTATTTTCTTATAATTATAACACACATTGAATGCAAATTCTATAGTAGAACGAGCAAGCCAAAGTTCGTCAATCTCACTCTTCCACGAATGTCTTAATCGTGCATACTCATCCTCAATGAATTTCCAAAACCACACCATAGTTATCCTTCATACTTGTGTGAATAGTGTACATGGTTGAAGAATGCTTGAAGCATGCGTAGTGCTGCATGCTTATTCTTCACTGACTTTAACTGATGATGGAATATTTGTAACAATTCACTTCAGTAGGCATGTTAATTCATCATAAATCATATATACCTATGGTGAGCGTATTTCAATCATCTATGCGTTTCGTAATAACATTCAGTCGGTA